GAGGTAGGAGGGAGAGGAGAAGGAGGAGGAGGAGGAGGAGGAGGAGGAAGGGAGAGGACGACAGCGGCTGCGCTTGCACGGGCGCTCATCAGGACACTTCGCGCAGGCACGCGGCTTCTGGCCCCAAGAGGGGAGGGAGGACAGAAGGACGAGAGGGGGAGGATGAGGGGGAGGGAGGAGGGGCAGCAAGCAGGCAGGCAAGCAACGGCAGCACGGTCGGCAGGCAGGCAGGCAGGCAGGCATGCAGGCAGGCAGGGGCAGCAGGCAGGGGCAGCACGGCCGCGGGATGTGAGCCACCTGACCCCGCTGCATAGGCGCCCTGGGGGGGGGGGGGGGGCGCCTGCGGGGGTGGGCTGGCCGGCGCCCTTAACCGTTGCCCCATCAAGCGAGCAGGCCCAGACGTGGGTGGCCGCGCACCAGCACATCGACACGCCATCATCCTCATCCTCATCCACATCCTCCTCCTCCTCATCATCAACAACAATATCATCACCACCATCATCACCACCAACATCATCAGCATCGCCACCAACAACATCGCCATCGTCATCATCACCATCACTATCATTATCACCACCTTTATCAACACCATCATCACCATCAACATCATCAACATCATCATCATCACCACCATCATCATCATCATCAACATCACGAACATCATCATCAACATCATCACCACCACCGTTATCACCATTCATCATGATCATCAGCATCATCATCATTATCATCACCATCGCAATCAGCATCACAACCACCACCACCTCCACCATCATCATCATCATCATCATCATCACCATCCTCATAATCCTCCTCCTACTACTCCTCATCATCATCCGCATCATCGTCAATATGATCATCATCAGCATCATCATCATACTCGTCATCATCTTCACAATCATCATGACCATCACCATCCTCATTATCATTATTCACACCATCGTCACCATCATCACCACCATTATCACCATCAACCATCATCATCTTCATCATCAATATCATCATCATCGCCACCACCATCACAACCACCATCATCGCCACCACCACCGCCACCATCATCATCATCACCATCCTCATAATCCGCCTCCTACTCCTCCTCATCATCATCCGCATCATCGTCATCATGATCATCATCAGCATCATCGTCATACTCGTCATCATCTTCACAGTCATCATGATCATCACCATCCTCATTATCATCATTCACACCATCGTCATCATCGTCATCCGCATCATCATCACCACCAGCATTATCCTCATCATCATCACCACAGGCATCGTCATCACCATCATCGCCATCACCATCATCATCCCCATCACAATCACCATCATCATCATCATCATCATCAGCATCATCATCATCATCATCATCAGCATCACCAGCATCATCCTTACCATCCTCCTCCTCATCATCATCATCCACGTCAGCATCCTCATCATACTCATCACCAGCATCACCACCATCATCAACATCATCATCATCATCATCATCATCATCACCACCATCATCCATATTATGTCTCTGGCTTCCCCATCCCTCCTACTCACATACTCCTCCTCCTCTTCCTCCTTCTCTTCTTTCCTGCTCCCCCGGGAAGCTCGTGTCCCCTGGCCACGGGATTGATGTTGGAAGGGGTACGGAGAGACGGATGGAGGAAGTGGCGAAGAGGAAGGCGGAAGAGGCCCGCAACACGTCCGAAAACGTCGTCCTCCTCCTCCTCCTTCTCCTCCTCCTCCTCCTCCTCCTCCTCCTCCTCTTCCTCCTGACCCTCCTCCCCCTCCCCCTCCCCCTCCCCCTCCACAATTACTCAATATGAATGCTGCTCTCCCTCTTCCACTGATGAAGGCCTGGGAGTGTCCGACACCCCCCCCCCGTACTGTTTTTTTACACACAGGTTTCCCCGGAGTTGGGTTTTCGCATGCGTTTTTCCAAAATGCTGCTCTCGCTGAGGCGCCGGCCTCATTTTCGGGCCCCGCTCGTTCCGAATCGTGCTCCCGCTGCAGCGCTGGCCTCATTTCCGTGCTTCCGCTCGTTCCGAATCGTGCTCCCGCTGCAGCGCTGGCCTCATTTCCGCGCTTCCGCTCGTTTCGACTCGTGCTCCCGCTGCAGCGCTGGCGTCATTTCCCGTGCCATGCCACGGCGTGCAATGCAATGCTAGGTTGATACTACGCTTTGCGGTGCTCTTCTACGCCATGCCATGCCGTGCTCTACAATGCATCGCGTACCCTTTCGGGATCATTGCCCTGCTCGACATCCGACTGTGCGAGTAGAGAGGGGATCTGCGCCATGGTAAGGGATGGGAGGGAGGGGTAGGATGTCAGATATGACGCGAGCGCACCTAGCTTGTCCCCCTCCCCCTCCCCCTCCCCGTCCCCCTCCGCCTCCCCCTCCCCCTTCCCCTTCCCCTTCCCCTCCTCCTCCTCCTCCTCCTCCTCCCCCTCCTCCTCCTCCTCCTCGTCCTCGTCCTCGTCCTCGTCCTCCTCCTCCTCCTCCTCCTCCTCCTCCTCCTCCCCCGCCGCGGGAAAACCTTGAAACTTCCGAACACCCATGCCACCCACAAATTCGTTTCCTCATAAATCGTCCCTGTCGCTCCATAAGACGTGCTGGTAGGGCGGGCCGGGCGTTGCGCCTAAGGCTTGCCCTTATGATCTGGGGCCGAGAATCTGCAACATGTTAGTGTGGCTCTCGCCTTAGAACCGCGCACACCCGTCTTGAAAGTTTGCAGCTATTTCAATGGAGGGCGATTCGTTTGAAAATGTGGCTCTCATCTCAGCGCCGCGCACACTCGCGTTCTAGAATTCGTATGGCTGAAGGCCCAGGAGTTCGTCTGGCTGAAGTGTCCCACTGTTTTTAGTACTCGTATGGGTGAAGGCCCAGGAATTGTGTTCTGGCACGATTTAGGATTGTCAGGACGCAGCGGTCACGTTCATTCGCGGTGCAAAGTCCCAGGAAGGGTTTCGGGCACAATTTGGATTTGCCAGGACGCAACGGACACGTCGATTCGCGGTGCTGGAGTCCCAGGAAAAGATGTTTTGGCACGATTGGAGATCCCAAGACGGTGGTCTTCCAATCGGGTACTTCCCGCAATGTACATACTACCTCCCTGAAGGGACCCATGACGAGAGAACTTGGGGGGAGGGTCTCTTGCAACATCGTTGATGGGTCTTGGGCTCAAGATTGGTCCTCCTCCCCCTCGCTCCTTCATCCTTCCCCGTTCTGCCTCCCACTCGTCGGAACAGCCGCAGGACAACATAACCATCAAACAATGTCTGCCAACGCCTGCCCTGTTCTGCATCCCGCTCGTCCGGACAGCCGCACGAAAACAGAAACGCCTAGGAATTCATAAAAACGTTCAGGACTCTCATCTTACTCCTCCTCCTCCTCCTCCTCCTCCTCCTCCTCCTCCTCCTCCTCCTCCTCTTCCCCCGCCGCTGCCGAGGCTGGGGCCGACAGCTGCCAGCGCATTTCGTGCCCGCCATCGTCGCCAGCGGCGACGACCTGCGCGGGAAGGAGAATGAGGGAGGGGAGGTCGCGGAGGAGGAGGAGGAGGAGGAGGAGGAGGAGGAGGAGGAGGGCGAGTGGGGGCCGCGAGGTGGTAGGGAAGGGGGGGTGGAGGGAGGCGAAGAGAAGGAGGACGGGGAGGGGAGGACTCGCTGCTGGAGACCTCCACGACGCCACGGGATCGGAGCCCGGGCGTCCGAGGCCCGAGGTCCGGCGCCGAGCTCCCGACCCCGGCTGGATTTCAGGTGGGGCTCCCTGGGCCAGCTTCAGCGCAGTGTTTTCCCGAGGGAGTGGGGCAATTCGGGCGTTTCGGGGCGCTCCTGGGAGAGCCCTTGGAGGCTTCTCGGGGCGCTCCTGGCCAGTCTCGTGGCACGTCTTGGGGCCACCTTGGGCGTCTTGGGGCGGCTCTTCGGCGATTCGCATCCCCTTTGGGCCATCATCGTGGGGGTCTTTGGGAGCCTGCTGGCCCCGTGCGTGCGAACTGTGGCGGGCGAAACCGTAGAGCGGAGGGCCGGTATTGCAAGGCCCGTGGCACCCCCCACTGCCTTCGCTCCCCTTCTCTGCTCTCCCGCGTGCTGTGTGTTGGCCGCCTTCCTGCCGTACGATCGCGGACGGCATCGGAGCCACCGCGAGGGAGGGAGGCGGGAACGCTAATGGGGGGGAGTGGCGAGTAGGAGGGGGGCGAGGGGGGGAGGGGGGCGAGGGGGGGAGGGCGAGGAGGCGGAACGAGGAAGAAGGAGTGAAGGCGAGGACGGCGGGCCGAGTGGGGGCGAGGAGGGGGGGTGGGACAAGAGCGAGGAGGGGGGTAGAAGAGAGGGGAGGAGTGGGGTAATGAGGGGGAAGGCGAAGGCGCGGAGGGGTGGGAGGGGAGGAGCGGGAGGTAGACGAGGCGGAAAACGAAGTATGAGGAGGAGGCGAAGGAGGAGGGGGGATAGAGCGAGGGTGAGGGGGAACCTGTTGGAAGATCTCGCTAACATGGAGGGCGGAACGAGCGGGAGGAGGAGAAAAGGGAGGGAGAGGTAGGGGATATGAACGGGGTGAGGATGAGGTAAAAAGGGAGAGAGGGGATGGGTCAGCTAGGTTGACTCGCGTCATATCTGAAGTATTATCTCTCCCTCCGTTTTTTATCATGGCGTAAATAACCGGTCTATTCGCGCAATAGGGTGTCGACCAGGACAATGATCCCGAGAGGGTGCGGGATGCTGTGTAGACCATGGCGTAGCATTACGTGGAACAGGCGGGCACAACGCAGCATGTCAGAGCATCGCGTGGCATTGCGTGGTGCATCATTACGTCACTAAGCATTGAGACGCGAAGCGTAGCACTGAATAACAACAACACAAAACAAAACGCTGCAGCGCATGTCATGGCATGGCACCGGGTTCCTTGGAGGGTGAGCGGATCGTCAGGGTGCGGTATGGGCCTGCTAAAGCTGCCCACTCACCAGTGACGCGCGCGGGTCACCGGTGATCCTCCCTTGTGCCCCCCTGGTTCTCGTAAAAATGACGGGTCGTTGGGGGTGGGGTGTTTGTTTGGGCAAATATGTGAAGTACCAGACATGCGGACATGAATGTAACAATGAAGCGAAATCGCCTGTTAGGAAAAACCGACAACATCCGGATTGGAAAACGCACAAGCAAACACAATTACTACACATCATATATAACAAATCAACGCGGAACAAAAAGCGACAACGTCGGATTGGAAAAACACATCGGCAACGCCACATCATCGAATTTTGTGGGTGAAAATGAGGAAACGTGTTGGTTGTTTTTTTTAACCGCTTCGAAAACAACGTAATCATATTGTGCCACTGTGGTGGGTGGAGGGGTGCGAAGAGGGAGGGGGGAACTGCGGGGGAAAAGGGGGGAGAGGGCGAGGGGAAAGGTCAGGAAGAGGAAAATTGGGTTGTGATCGTGCTGCCTGGGAACCGTACCACACGATGGAACAAAAGGATTTGGCTTGCTCCGTGCAGCCCCCACTGCGCACATAATGTCAGCTTGTGATTCACAAATCTGTGGGAGGCGCGCGTTAAAACAAATGTCCCTGCTGGGGCGAATCGCGGGGGTGGCGCCCACCAAATTGAAGCACAACTCCGGGGGCGCCGGTGATTCGCGCCGACGCCCGGCCGCTGGGGATAAGGCGACAAAAACAACGCAGACGTGGCAAGGGGGGCTCGGTAGGCAAGGGCGGCAGAGGCAAGGGCCGTAAACCAAAGGGACACCTGCTCGACATGAAAGAGAATTGCCGTCGGCGCTCGCCCTCGCACTTTGCGTGTTTTGTCGAACCGATGCGCCTCCTTTACCGTGGCTGCAGCCAGGGGGCGCCAGGTGCCTCGCGGGCCCGCGCACAAGGCAGGCTGGACGAACGGGGGGCGTGGCCAAGCGGGGATTCGCCAGGCAGCTCACATTACTGATTTTCCGAACGCCTCCTGGCGCCCAAAGCGGCCATGCATCGAGGACTGGCCCTCGGCGGGGCGACCGGAACCAGCTGCGCGCAGCCGGTTTCGCACTCCCCCTTTCCTTCCCCAATCTTTCGTCCGACCCGAGCATGGCGGGCAGTCCTCCTCCCCCCGTCTGTCGTGGTCTGTCCGTATTCGTCGACGGTGACGATGAGTAGGCCCGGTGTAGTCGAACACGACGACAACGACGACGACGAAAACGATGACGAGGACGATGGCGAGGAGGACGAGAACGAGGACGACGGACGGCGACGACGACGCATTGCGGATGTCCCATGGGAGAGGACTGCTGCGCAGGCCCGCTGTAGTCGACGGCGACGACAACGACGATAATCACGACGACGACGACGATGCACTGCGGATGCCGCATTGAGGGGGGTGCTGCTGCGCAGGCCCGCTGTAATCGACGACAACGACGACGACGAGGACGGGCGACGACGACGACGATGGCGACGACGACGACGACGACGCCTGAGAGGGGGAACGCCAATTCGCCTCTCATGTAGGCGACCCCATATCACAAATTCTAAATCACAAAGGCAATTCGTTTTGAGGCTGTCATGCAGGGGGTACTCGATCCCCTCGGCGGTGCCCGCGACGACCCCCTGGCGCGCGCGATGAAAGCAAATGCTTCGCGCCCCGCGGGGTCTATTCATCAGAGCCGGGGGGGGCTCAACTGTTAACCACAAATTGACTTTATGATACCGGAGAAAAACCCAATCATAACCATTTTAGGGATTCAGGCCTATGGGGCTATAAGGCTATGGGGCTAGACGGCTATGGGGCTATAGGGCTACAGGGCCGTAGGGCTATAGGGCTATTGGGCTACAGGGCTATGGGGCTGTAGGGCTATAGGGCTACTAGGCTATAAGGCTATAGGGCAATTAGGGCTATAAGGCTACAGGGCTATAGGGCCATATAGAGCTACCGGGCACCTGGGCACCCGGGCACCTGGGCCCCCGGGCCCCCGTGCACACGGGCACCCGGGCACCCGGCACCCGGGCACCTAGGCACCCGGACACCCGGGCACCCGGGCACCCCCGGGCCCCCGGGCCCCCGGGCGTGCGGCGAAAATCGGCGGCAAACCTAACCTAACCATATGAATCCGCTAGGACCCCTACAGAGGCAAGCTCTGATTGGGGAATGAGCTCCTGGTGTGTTTGTTCACCACGAACTGACTTTATGAGCTCCTGGTGTGTGTGTGTGTGTGTGTATGCGCCCCTCAGACAAAACGCGCCAGTCGACGCATGAACGCGTCAGCCTTCGCCTCTGAGCAGGGCCTCTGTCCACTTACAGGTACGTGTCTTTACACAGGAGGCGCAATGGGTCAAAACCAAGAGGGTCAGGACTGATGTCCCAGCATCTGTGCCTTCTGTGGGGAAACCAATAGATCCCGATACCGCATCTCCCAGGACCTCTCCAAGGGTGCGTTATGACTAGAGTTTCGATGCGAATCCAGCGGTGGTGACGAGGGCCTCTCAAGAGGCCGAAAAGGCCGAAAAGGAGGGACGAGTAGCGGCATGGGTGTGTGTTCCTTCTGTCATGCTGAATGCGGTCCAAGCAGGTGGTTCTTGGCAAATTCCTCGCGCCCATTCGAAGCTTTTCGAGCGGGGCGCGGCCAACGAAAGTGTCCAAGGATGGACCCAGGAGGCAAGGATGCAAGGGTACCCTTGGGAGGGATGCCTATCCTCACTATGCGGGTCAACTGTACGATCCCCCCAGACCCCCAACGCCCTTGGATTAGGACGAGGGAGGAGGAGAGGAGAGGGACAGAGGGATGACGAGGAGAGGGATGAGAGCGAGAGGCGAATAGATGGAGAGAAGGATGAAGGGAGAACGAAGGCAAGGTCGGTCCCTGCCCGAGTGCGCCCAGGCCTCTGCTGCAATCTCGGACAGCCCGAGTGTCTCCCAGGGCCGCAAGGTTTTTCTTGATACGATGCGATGCGATGCGACTTCCGCTGCGGACAGCGTCCGGGCCTACTCAAGACCGGGTGGGCGAGGCCGTGGCCTCGGGAATCTCGCGTGTCTGGACACCATGCACTGCGAGACAAATGGACAAATGCGACTCAACTGAACGACTCTGGCTCAGATCTGGCCTCGCCGCAAACCAGGTCGTCTGATCCGTCGGACAGGCCTCCGCTGAACGGGACTCGTCTTGCGTTTGGAACTCGGCCCTCTTCCTCTTTTGGGCGGGCTTGGCCTCAACACCCCACACGTGTAGCTGCACAGTGTCGTCCTGGCTGCAGCTAATGCCGACGGGGGTTGAGCTGCCCACGCTGCCCGCCGCCCCACTCCTTTCTCCCTGGCCCTTCTCCTTTCTCCTCGGCCTTCGGCCTGCCTGGGCGCCTCGGAGTCTCGGCCTCCGCTCTTCGTGCCGAAGGCGAAGGAACGACGAGAGAGAGAGAGAGAGATAGAGATAGAGAGAGAGGGAGAGACATGAGGGGGGGAGAGGGAGTGGAGAGGAGTAGGACAGGTAGAGGATCGGTCATGGGAGGAGAGGGAATAAGGAGAGCAAGGAAGAGAGGACAGGAAAGCAAGAGAGAGAGAGAGAGGGAGAGAGAAGGGAGCAAGACTCCCCCTCCGCACTACTCGTTCCTCCGTCCTCCTCGGCTTCATCCTCCCTTCTCCTTATCCTCGCTCCATCTTCTTCCTCCTTCCTCCTCTTCGCTCCGCCTCCTCCTGCTCCTCCTCCTCCTCCTCCTCTTCCTCCTCCTCCTTCCTCCTCTTTCTCGTCCCCTCTTCCTCCTCCTTCCTCCTCATCCTCGCTCCCTCATCTTCGGCGTCCCTCCTGGTTATCCTCCTCCTCCTCCTCCTCCTCCTCCTATTCCTCCTCCTCCTCCTGATCGTCCCCCCTTTTCCCACCTGTCCCAAGATGGGGTCTTGTTCTTACTTAGACCCCTCCGATTCCTCAGGAGAACACTCCCTCCTCGACCTACACCTCCTCCTCCTCTTCTTCCTCCTCACCACTCAGACTCACTCATCACACTCAGGCTCACACATCCTCATACTCATTCGCACGTAGACTCGCTCATACTGAAACTCACTCACGCTCTGACTCACTCATACTCAGTCATACTCGCACTCAGGCACACTCATACTGAAACTCACTCATCTTCAGACTCAATCACACTCACGCGCCCAGATTGTGGGGATCTCTCTGGCAGTTCGCCTGTTTTGAAACTCAGTATCCTGCGCTTTCGCTACAGATTGTGGGGATGTCTCGAGCGAGGCGCTGGTTTCAGCACTCCCAAGGGGGAGTAGCCAGGGGTGGGGACACTCCAAGATTCGCGTCAAGATTGTAGAGATGTCTCGAGCGGTTTGCTCGCCTGGGCGCGCAACATCCTCTGCATTCAGAGCAGGTTGTGGTGATGTCTCGAGCAAGGCGCTGGTTTCAGCACTCCCAAGGGGGAGCCGCCAGAGGGGGGGGGACACTCCAGGATTCACGCCCGGATTGTAGGGACGTCTCGAGCGGTCTGCTCGGTTGGGTGCGCAACATCCTCTGCTTTCGGACTGGATTCTGAGGATGGCTCGAGCGAGGCGCTGGTTGCGGCACCCCTAAGTTAGGGAGGGGGGGGGCGCCAGGGGGGTGGGGGACACTCCAGGGGTTCGCGCCCAGATTGTAGGGGATGTCTCGAGCGGTCTGTTTGCCCGGGTGCGCAGCATCCATTGTTTTCGGCGCAGATTGCCAGGATGCCTCGTGCGAGGCGCTGGCTTCAACACCCCAGGGAAGGGGCGCCAGGGTACTCTCACGGCCTGTTCGCGCTTGCAGTGCAGGCAGGAATAGGAGGTAGGAGGAGATAGGAGCAGGTAGGATGAGGTCGGGCCTGTCCTCCTACAAACGGATCTTGGACGAAACATCAAACATAGACATAACATGCTCAACAATAATCAAAAACAACAGAAACATCGTCTCCAGATGATGATTTGACTATTCTGGAATATTCCTCCTGTTGAGGGACACGCCCGACTTAAAGGTAGGGCGAGGTATGAGGGGGGTTATCCCAGGGGGCCGGTGGGGGGTATCGCACGGGGCCGTGCGTAATTAGATTATGGGGTATCTCACGGGGCCCGAGGAGGAGGAGGAGCAGCAGCAGGAGCAGCAGGAGGAATCGGTTCAGGATGGGAGAGAGCAAGAGGAAGATTGAGGACTATCTCAGGTGGCATGCCTGTTTTGTCGCTACAACCCTCGACAACATTAAACTCAAAATCGCCTTGAGCCCCCCCTTCAATATCAGCACCTCCAATATCGAAGGGGTGCGACTCGAAAGTTCCATGCTGACCGAAAGTGGAGGGGGGGCGCCAACCAATACTTCGCACTCCTTTACATCCAATCCCGAACAATCACATGCGCAAGTACCGTGCGTTCTTTGTCTGACGACTTGCGCGCTGGCCACTAGCACCGCGTGGATCCTTCAACCTTGGACGGTAACAACTTTTCGAACATCCAAATCGTGCACGTCTTCCGACTCCGGACCGCTGGCGTCGTCCAACCTCAGAACGCCCGCGCTGGGGTCGCTGCCGCGTCGACGCGACGCAAACCTACAGTAAGATGCGTGACACATGTTTGTTTATTTCCATCGAGGATTGATTGTATGACTTCTGCGCTGTATGTTGGGATGCCTCGAACGAGGCGCTGGTCTAACCACCGCCGTCATCGCCGCCGTCGTTGTACCCGTCGTCCATTCGGATTCACACTCACATCACGACACTCACAAAGAAACTAGATAGGAAACGGGATACACCTAATTGGGATATCCGCGTCAAGTAATTTCCCTCCCTCCCTTCTGGTTTGCGCCCAGTGCGCCTCAGTGGCACATGGTTTCTTCGGACGGAGGTGGGGTGTCCCTCGCTGCTTCAGGTTTTTTTGGTATGGGGGTGCCAATGACTTTGCTCAGGTACTCCCCGGATACCAGTCTGCTGCAATGTCCTCTTCCCCCTGCTCCACTCCTCCTCTTCCGCCTCCTCCTCCTCCTTCCTCTTCCTTTATTTTGCCGGCCTCCTCCCTCCTCCTACTGCTCCCTTCTCCCTCCTCACAGTGTGGAGCATGCTGTACTTTGTCGTCGCGGCGCTCGTCGAGATCAGAAAGGGCGGGCAACGGACAATATCGCCGACACGGTTGCAACATTCGTCCGGGACTCCGTAACCCTCTCCGCCTCCTCCTCCTCCTCCTCCTCCTCCTCCTCTTTTCTTCCTCCTCCTCCTCTGCCTCCTTCACCTTTATCCTCCATCCCTCACTCTCTCCCACCAAATCCTCCTTGCTCCTCCCCCGTCCTCCGTTTCGCTGCTCCTCCCCTTCTCCTCCTCATCCATCCCTGTCGAACCCCCAGACGTGTTGGTAGGGCTGGCTGGGCGTTCGGCATGAGACTTCCTCACCATGTATGGTCCTGACGCTTGGAATTTGCAGCAACTTCAGCGATGTAGGGCGGGCCGTTTTCAACAAGGGGCTTTCGCATGAGCGCTGCTCACGGCAATTTAAGCATTCGCAACACTTTCAAGGATGGAGGGCGGTTGTTTTCAAATGTTGCTCTCGCCCTAGGGCCGCGAACATTCGTCTTAAACATTTGTAACATGCTCAAGTATGTAGGGCGGGCTGGTTTCAACAATAGCGCCGCGAACATTTGTCTTGTAATTTACGGCAATTTCAAAGATGGAGGGCGGATCAATTTCAGTATGAAGCTCTCGCCTTAGCGCCGCGCGCTTTCCTCTACGTTAAAAGGGTCAAACAACAAGTTCAAGGATCCGTAGGGTTGAAGTCCCAAGAATGGTGTTCTGGCGCGATGGAGGGTTGTCAGGATGCCCAAACTGGGTACGGAAATAATCGGCACGATGCCCACTCCTTCCGTACAGTCGGACCTGGGCCAGAATAACATCCCTCAAGAACACGAGAGGATACCCTCCCCGTGGATGCACAAAACACACCCTACAACCACGAAGACCACTGGGGCACCCTGCCCGAATCGACCTCAATCTTACACCTCGGTCCGACTGTACCTGTTTGTCGGCGTAGAACGGGGGGGAAGTGAAAAAACATGTTTTCTTTCTTTCTCTCTCTCTCTCTCTTTCTCCCTGTCTCTCTCTCTCTCTCTCTCTGAAGACGATGGGACTTCTCAGACACCCTCCGGATTTTTTGTGTTTGGGGACACTTCGGAACAATTTTCAGAAGGCCGGGGGGACTTCCGAGCCTTCTGAAAAGGCCTCCTCCTTCTTACTTTTCCACGCGTTCGCCGCCGAGTTTTCTTTCGTTCCGATGGTCGAACCGACGGACGCGCCCGAAAAACCTCCGACGCCGACGCGACAACGACGGGCGGCGCCTGGGGCTCGGCGCCGTCGACCCCGGCGTGCAGCGGCCCCCCGGGGCCGACGGCGCGCAGCCACCTGGCACGGCGCAAGCCGCCGTGGCCCGCCGCGCTGCCGCTGCCGTCGTTCGTCGTGGTCTTCGCCGTCGGCGCCGTCGTTTTCGTCGTTGTTCGTCTTTCTCGTCGTGTTTTTGTGTATATATACATATGTATATTTTCATACTGTCTATATATATATACACACATACCTAAATGTATATATCTGTATTATAGATTTGCATCTATAAATGTACATCTATATACACAGCTCAACAAATATATAACCCCCGCGTGTATTCAGCATGCTTCTCCCGCCGCCGCTCGTCGCCGTCGCTGTCTGCGGCGATGTCGTCGTCGTCGTCGATGCCCGTTTCTGTTTCGGCGCCTCTTTGCGCTCGGGTCGAGCGGGCGGCGCTGCACACCCTGCTTTGCGGCCCAGCCTCAGGCGTGATAGACGTAAACAGAACATCAATCGTACAGGTTCACGCGGGCATCGTTTTAAGTGTCTGGATAACGTCAGCACGCCGAAGGGGCGCGTGTCTAGCGGCCCCCCCGTTTCAGCAACTAGGGCTGCACTTCCGACATCCAGCATCAACGGCCCGCAAGCAAACTTCGATTTCAGCTGACGACATTGTTGCGCCGTGAGGCAACGCAAAGTTAAGTTCCGCATCTGGCGTCCACTCTTGCAGCGCGTCCTGGCGCAAGTGGTCAGCTTCGTGCAAAACCCAACCTCCGCCAGAATCCTCCTCGGAGCTACTTTTATCGAAATGCACCCTCTAGTACCGAAAACCGTTCGCACGAGCGCTTGTCTGTCTCCAAACTGATGAGCTTCGCTGTTCAATCCCTGGATTACGCAACGACCGCACTCTGCGTGAGACGTTCGAGGCCGAGCGCAACTCGCATCCATCATCCGCTGTAGCTCTCTGTGGACAATGCGCAGGTGGCCCGCGTGCAACGAATGTCGGCGTAGCCGCGCATCATGAAGCCAATTGGCAACCAATTTGCTGTTCCCGCAATCTCGAAACAAGGCCCATGCCCTCCACCGTGGTGCCACCCCACGGGTTCATAAGCAACGGTCCGAAGACGTTTGAATGGCGGCCCCTGGATATCAGGCGGCGCTGCCGCGGGCAACCTAGAGGCGCGCTTCCCTTCCGGAAGGCGCCAGCCAGTTTCTGGTGTTCCGGAGACCCGCTGCCAGACAACGCGCCGCGCTTGATGCCGCAATTGCGCGCCGGCTGCCTTCTTCCACTCGTCGCCGCAGACTGTTTCGAAAATGGTCTCCCACTGCGCCGGCGCGTCTGGGCGGGAACGCCTGCAGTCGTTGCTGGTATACGCGAGGCATTGCCCGCTGCCCGTTGCCAAACCCGCTAAATGCCGTCCCGAAGGGGCGCACGCGCTGGCAGCAAGCAGCGAGGCGCAAATCGCGCTGTGACGTCCGTAGCGGGGCGCCCATTGCAGAGGCGCGCAGGGCCATCCACGTCGGCGACGTTCGCGCCTGCGCGGCGCGCCTCGGCGCGCGGCCCCGACAAGCTGACGTCGCAGAGCCTATGGAGATTATCGATGCGCGTTGATGGCGGTTTTGCGTTGTAAAAACTATTTCTTTACTGCTTGGGGCATGATGGGAGTCATGGCCCCCGCCCCCCCCCTCACAGTGCGCTCCGGGCAATGCCGACGTGCGTATTGGGATCCGCGTAGGTGTCCGCGTAGGAATCTGCATAAGAGTCTGGTCCGCAGTCGTCGTCGGCGACGTCGTCGTCGTCGCTCGTGGCTCGTGGCTCGTCGCTCATCGTCGTCGTGCGCGCGGACGCGGCTGGAGCTTGTTTTTTTTTTTTTTTTTTTTTTTATTCTGGGCCGATGACGGCAATCATCTGGGGGGTGGTGGAGGGGGTCGATGACGTCACGCTTCGCGCCGGCGGCGCCTGGGAATGCCTAGGAATCACGGAAGACGGGTGGCACGAGCAAGTAGGTCGCGATCTGCACCACAACGCCTGTGTACACCTCAATGCCTGCGTGCACCACAACGCCTGTGTACACCACCCTGCTTATGTACACCGCAGCAGCCGCGTGCAACACAGCGTCAATGTGTGCCACCGCGGGCGCGGGCACAACATCTTTCTTGTACACCACAGCGCCTGCGTACACCACATCAGTCGTGTGCAACACAGCAGTGTACACCACAATGCCTGGGTGCATTGCAGTGCCTGTGTACACCACGGCGCCTGTGTGCACCACAGCAACCGTGTGCAACACAGCGCCACTGTTGTATGTAGTTTGCTAGAAAAATCATTATGACAAAATGGGGCGTTTGTGGGCTCCACTGAGGACACCGGAAAATAATCTTTATGGACAAGGGAGCGCTAGGGAATGTACGAGTCCTTCCGAGTTCGCCCGCATCACCGTAACTCCTCCCGTCTGCGTCCAGGAGGCTCCAGCTAAATTGACCGTCCGAAAACCAAGTGGGCCGATTCAATCGACCATTCTGCGGTGCACGCTGAGCTGTCCACGCGCGCTGCAGCGCCAACCCGCACGACAGGGGGTAAGGAGGAGGAGGAGGAGGAGGAGGAGGAGGAAGAGAAACAGGAGGAGGAGCAGGAGGAGGTGGAAGTGGAGGAGAAGGGAAAGGGGAACAACGTCGCATTCGATTATCAGCACTTTCCCGGCGTGGGGCTTCCGCAGCAAATCCTCACGTACAGGCTCCTTCTACGTGTCCTATGTACGCAGGCGCCGAGGTGTACAATAGCGCTGCGTTGCACGCGGATGCTGTGGTGTAGACAGGCGCTGTGGCGTGCACAGGCGCCGCGGAGCACGCAAGCACTGTGGTGTACACAGGCGCTGTGTTGCACATGGTTGCCTCCGGTGTGCACATGTACACCGGTGCTGTAGTGTACGCAAGCACTGCAGTGTACACAGGCGCTGCGCTGCGCACGGTGGTTGCGATGTAATAAGGCGCTGTGGTGTACACGCGCGCTGTGGTGCACGCGAACGATGTGGTGTACACAGGCGCAGAGGGGGCAAATCGCCACCTACATGCTGCTCGCGTCGTCGTCGTCGTCGTCGCTTGTCGCTCGTCGCGTCGTGCGCGCGGGCACGGCTGTGGCGCCGGAACCACACGGCGGGGGGGGGCGTTGCGTCATGCCCCCCCGCCCCCCCCCCCCATGACGCCCGTCTTCGCCGAACATAAAGAAACGCCGTCATAGCTGCGGAAAATGTTCCTCGACGCGCGCGTGGACCTCCGCGCGCGGGTGGTAAAATCGTCCCGCAGTCGCCGGCGTGGACTGGCAATCCGACGGAGGTGGCAATTGTTGTCAGATTGGGTCAGCTCGTCGCACAGCCCTCGGGCCCGCGCCCGGGAAGACGGGGCCGCGCAGAAAGGCCGGCTGCGCACGTTGGACAAATCACGGCAAATGAGACCGCGTTGATACATCGGAGCATTCGCCGTCGATGAGCGGCGCCGCGCAGCGTCGGTAGACATCCCATCAGAAGACATGGAGGTTCCCAAACCTTCTAATTCGTTCGCCGCCGCGACTGCTAGATTTCCCCGACTGGCGCAGACAAGGCTGGCGCCGCGGAGGACGCGGCTAGGATATGCAGCGACCGCTCCATCGTCGCCCACGTGAGTCGGTGAAATCTTGCGTCGCGCGCCAACCGCATTTTGCTGCGTGCCCCGAAATGCAGATTGTTCGCCCATGCCAAGCGCGCGATCGCGCCGATGGCCGGCCGGCGCGCGCCGCGGTCGGGGCCTTCCCAGTGATCCACGAGCCCGTCCAAAACCGAGCGCATGACGACATTCCATATCCAAGCTGAATCGACGCCGCTCTGCCGCTCAGAACGATTGAAAGCGAAACTGCGCGAAGCGCGCGCGTCGTGGATCCCGGCGGCGGCGGCGCAGATCCATGGGCCCCATGACCAACGCTCTCGCGACGTCTGCGGAATAGACCAATGGCTGAGGCTCTCGATCGCAACCTAAAGGCCGAGATGGCCACGTGCAATGTTTAACGTCCGCGCTGAGAATGAAAATCGTCGCGCTGTCCTGGCGCTCCGCTCCTTCCTGCGCCGTCAAAGCCAAGCCTGCGCAAATTTGGTGCGCGCTGTGAATTTCTTCGAAGCCAAATATCATCGAACGATGCCGTCGTGGACGCTGCAAATCGCTGACTGCGTGCTTCGCTGGAGCCGCGGCGCAACGCGCGCGCCACTTCGCGAACGCGAAAGACAAGAGCGATGCCGCTGAAGCCCGCCAGAGAGATGGCGCTCGAAATTATTGCCGAGAAAGTCGCGGCAATGCGTCTTCATGTCGACGGATCGACCCGAACGTCTCCTCGAACGCGCTGCTAGGACATATTGTGGATCGCAGCGATGCGCAAGAGGGCAACAGCTGAATCATTCCGGGCACACTTGCGTCTCCACCACTCTGGCTGCGTGAAAGTCGAAGTAAGCAACGCGCTGAATAACTCCGGCGCTTGCGCAGCCGTCGGCGCGCGCGCTCGCGCAGGAGGTCTGGCCGGCCTGGATCCGATGCGCTGTCCGAGCGCTCTGATTCGCAATGCCCCTGGACCTCGCATGCCCAAAGGGCTGCGTCGGTCGTCGGCGCTCCGATGCGTTGCAGTTGAGGCAGCGGGCGCGTGCTCCTCGCAGCGGCGGCATCCGAGACCTCCCATGCCTTCTACTGTCGTCGCATACGTTGGGCAACATGTCGCCAATGTCGACATCCTTGCAGTATGACAACTCGGCGAATCGACTCGTCGGCCTGGAGGAGATCTCCCAGCCGTGTGTTCGCCAATGCCTCGCGGGGGCCCGCCGGGCTGCAATTTCCTGTCTGGGCGCCCTCTGCGACGCCGTGCAGCGCTTCATCCAAAATGAACCGCGCGCGCTCGCTGGGACAGCACAAGTCAAGATGCGATCCGCGACGTTCTGGGGCGCCTGGGCGCCAGTCCTGGGAGCTCGCGGCGCCGGCGCGGCAAGTGATGGGGGCGCCCGCCGCCATGATGCCCCCCTGACAAGGAGGTGGTCAGATCGACGCGCTCGGCAAGACGCCGCGGCCGC